CATTGTCATGCTGGAATACCCATCCACGACCCATATTCAATGCCCTGGCTGAGGGAAGGATGTTGTCACCCAAGATTTGACGGTACATGGCCCCGTCCATCGTCCCTTTGATGCGGTGAAGTTGTCCTGTCCCCTTAGCAGAAAAACACCCCCAAAGCATAATGTTTCCACCTCCATGATTGACAGTGGGGATGATGTTCTTGGGGTCATAGGCAGCATTCCTCCTCCAAACACGACGAGTTGAGTTGATGCCAAAGAGCTCCATTTTGGTCTCATCTGACCACAACACTTTCACCCAGTTGTCCTCTGAATCATTCAGATGTTCATTGGCAAACTTCAGACGGGCATGTATATGTGCTTTCTTGAGCAGGGGGACCTTGCGAGCGCTGCAGGATTTCAGTCCACGGCATAGAGTGTTACCAATTGTTTTCTTGGTGACTATGGTCCCAGCTGCCTTGAGATCATTGATAAGATCCTGCCGTGTAGTTCTGGGCTGATTCCTCACCGTTCTCATGATCATTGCAACTCCACGAGGAGCCCCAGGCCGAGGGAGATTGCCAGTTCTTTTGTGTTTCTTCCATTTGCGAATAATCGCACCAACTTTTGTCACCTTTTCGCCAAGCTGCTTGGCAATGGTCTTGTAGCCCATTCCAGCCTTGTGTAGGTCTACAATCTTATCCCTGACATCCTTGGAGAGCTCTTTGGTCTTGGCCATGGTGGAGAGTTTGGAATCTGATTGATTGATTGCTTCTGTGGACAGGTGCCTTTTATAAAGGTAACAAGCTGAGATTAGGAGCACTCCCTTTAAGAGTGTGCTCCTAATCTCAAGCTGAGATTAGGAGCACTCCCTTTAAGAGTGTGCTCCTAATCTCAGCTCGTTACCTGTATAAAAGACACCTGGGAGCCAGAAATCTTTCTGATTGAGAGTGGGTCAAATTCTTATTTCCCTCATTAAAATGCAAATCAATTTATAACAATTTTGACATGCGTTTTTCTCGATTTTCTTGCTATTCTGTCTCTCACTGTTCAAGTAAACCTGCCATTAAAATTATAGACTGATCATTTCTTTGTCAGTGGGCAAACTTACAAAATCAGCAGGGGATCAAATACTTTTTTTCCCTCACTGTACATACATACGGACACGTGGGCGTCCCATGCAGCCATGGGCATCTGCAGAGAAGTGTTTTGTATCCCATGGCCAAGTGCGCGTCCATTCAACCGGGTGTCGATAAAATGTTACAGATGTCGATACACCGGCCCGAGAGGAAATTCATCCGTGCCCACCCTCAACCCCCACCACCACCCATTCCTGCTCTCCTGGGCATGTCTCTGGGGAACCGCGCTTTAGGCGGCGTTCCAACGCTCCCCCGACTTATAGTCAACAGCGCAATGAGAACCCAATTCTCGGACGGGGTCCCCCCCCACCGCCCCCGTCGCCGCCCTCGTTATTTCTGTAATTGGACTGTCACTCGTCGTGAACGTGAAACAGAGGTCGGGCGCAGAGGCGATGCATAAACGGAGACCCCCACCCCTGCCCCCCCCCCTGCCCCCGCACACCCCTCCCCCCCCCACCCTCTGCCCCCCCACCCTCTGCCCCCCACGATCGCACGGTGCGCGGAATCCGAGCGGCAGGGCCAGAGAGAGGCGCGCCACAGCGTGAGTGCGAATGACGAAGGGTCCACGCTTTCTCTGAAGCCAATTAATGATGAATTCATTAATTAAAGGTGGTGTGGGGAGTGGGGGGTGCTGGACCGAGGCGAGGCGGCAATATGGATGAGGCGAGAAGTGTGGGCAGTGATTAAGAAGAGAGATGAGACAGCGGAAAGAGATTATTGCAGTGGAGAAATATGTGACATTTCCACGATTTTTATTATTTTGAATATCATAAAGATAAAAAGGCATCCCTTCACGAGAGGAGCATTACAGGTAAAAGATAACGGTAGGAAAGATAAAATAGCACTCTGCGTTAGTGAAGAGAAACAAATAGTAAAATAATAAATTGGAGCTTTAAACATTTTTATTTTGTTTTAATGATCATAATGAGTGAGAGTGCCCAGTGCAGTCGCACGCACAACACGGCCGGCCGGAAAGTGAAGGTGAACGGTTTTTTTTGTAGAACGCTGATTTTAATTAATGCAGCTTGTCTTTGCCATTGACATATTACACGCGTAACCATCATATCTTTTATTTAGCAGTGAGCAAGCACAACTAATGTGCACCGGGCGTAGTAATTAAACGCGCTCGCACCGTGCACACGCGTGCGCGTGCGTACTCGGAAGGGTTTTTTTTTAACTCCACTGACCCTTTACTCTTTTTTTTATTGTTCCTAAAATGCGTGTTAACAGGAGAGACTAAAATTGGATTGGCGCATTGGGAGAGAGAGAGAGAGAGAGCCCACTGCTGTGTAAGTGCTGCAGGCAAACTACACTGCATTGGAACATAGGTAGCAAGTGGCGCTTTAATCTACCCAATTTTTGCCGCCGCTGCACACTCGCCAGCGCCCTTTCGTTCGCTTCAAAAATTATCCGAAAGCCGGGGTTAAGATACAGACGGGCAAGGGAGTCAGGAGGAAAATACAAATACTTGGGAGGGATAATAATAATAATATACACGTAGACGAGAAGTAAGTGTGTCAGCGTGTGACCATGCTCTTCAAAACCTCAAGCCTATTGGATTCATAATTCCTTTCGCTCTCGGCGAGTGGAGGCTAAACAAAAAAAAAATCATCCTCCGCCGGATCTTCAGCCGAGCAAGGTTTCGTGCAAAGGGGCACGTGGAAGCAGGTCACCGGCGGCGCGCTTGAAAAGGACGGGATGTGACTGGGTGTTGGGAGCAAAGGAGTGCAAAGCCTCCTCCACTCTATATACGCAACAATCACTGGCAGGGTATAGCGGCTGCTACTGAAGCCCACCCACGTTCGCGCGGGGGAGAGGGGTGGGGGAGGACTGACAGCGAACGGTCACTTTGTGGTGGGGTGTTGGGGGAGACGGGATGAGTGGAATCATAGTTGCTGTGAGGGCTCACGCAGCGAGCGAGCCTTTCTGATCGAGGGGGAGAAGCGTTAGGAGCCAGCGAGTGAGCCGCGTTATTACCTCGGGAGGAGGCACTTACTTCTCAAGCTTCTGCTTGGTCCAAGGATGCGAGAAAGGGGACTCGAAAGTCAATAATGTGATGTGAGCATTAAGCTCGTTGTAAAACTAAATTGTCAAACGATGGCCGGCCTACCCACCCATCTGCGTGCCCCAGGGTAACAAGCTTCGTTCGTTGTGCCGACACAGACCGACTGCCAGCCCGGCTTACAATCTTATTATCGTCGCCACGGCACAGAAACGTCTACGGACACCAACACAGTACGTAGGGCGGTCTGCGGGAGGAGGGTGGGCTAATCGGCGCAGAGGATCTTCGTAGAAAGCAACCCCCGTGCATGTCGACAGCGCGATGGGTTCACGTCCGCGCGATTTGCTTCCCGTGGGAATTCCTCCTCAAGGCACGAACCGGCGTGCTAATAACGTCGGACGAAGGTACGCGTTGGTTTTTATTTTGCTCCGCCTCTGTCTCGCTTTGCCACTGTTTTCACCCACATCCCCACCCCCCATCCTGGTGTAATATTTTTGGTATTATTATTTTTAGAACAATGCTGCTGATGTCTTTGTCTAGTTGGATGCTTGCTGCATCGATGCTGCATCATGGTATGGGTTTATGATTTATTGTGACAGCTTTGGTCGTTTATCATTCGGCGCCTCTGCGCAGTGTAACAAGGTCATTGTATGTGTTCAGTTGCTGAAAACAAACATACCATTATAACATTAGTAGGCATCGTTACTTCTGAACAATTTTACCCCTGGCTGATCTTAACAACGGAGTTATTTTCAAAATTGTCGGGTTTTTTTTTTGCTAGGCACTCCCAATTAATTTAAGACGTTGGTTTGTGTGACCGTAATTCTGATACATATGGCCCTGCTGGCCGGTGATTATTCTCAAATTACTTTTTTTTTTTTACAAAATTAAACAGGACGTTTGTTTATTAAGCACTAAATGAGCTGTCCATTTGCCTATTGATAATGATTTATTACCGAATCTTTCTCGATTACATTCAAAGCAGCTCTGTATTCCGAGAGATAACGGCGATTTAGGGGGATAGACAATGGGAGCGTTATTTGAGAGCGCGGGACACATAAACGAGTCACTTCTTTGCGCACAACTGACTCATGCGGCCAGAGTGCTCGATCAACCACAATGCTCTTACTGTACGATCATTTCCAGCCATCAACAACAACAAAAAAAGCCACAACGATATTAACAACAACAACGGAACTTAATTAGCCCTTACTTAAAATGATTCCTTGCAAGCTCCAACGGAACGTTTGTCGAGTCGAACTCTCACCGCTAATTCTTTCACAATGAAGAGGGAAAAAAGGACGAATTGTGCCGTGGTGCCTCCTTAAAAGAGGCCGTGATGGCACCGCTCTGTGGAGAAGGCCGATGCAGGAGAGGAGCGCATTCCACAATCTACACTTTAGCTGATCGAGAGCCAGACGGCCTGTCACGGGCTTCTTGGTAACGGCCACCGACGGAGTTGCCCAAAGGACATGGGCATCTGCTCTGACAACTCTCTTCGCCGCTGGCAAACCCAACAAGACCCCTTTGCACATACTGCCCTCCCACCTCCCCTCCCTCCCACCGCGCCCCCCTCCCCCACCCTCCTTCACTCCCCTCTTTTTTTTTTATCTTTTCCGTGTATTTTCACAGAGCCCAGTGCAAGCGTCCACTGCCCCGGTGACAACGTGTTATCTCGATAGCGATGTTGTGGCAGTAATGATATCCCAACCGCTGGCTGGCCCGGGGCGGACCAGACAGCCAATTAGTGGGCAGTACAAAGTGAAGGCGGCTCTCGGCGTGCCGCAAGGGCCACTTTGCAGGGATGCTAATGAATGTTTTGATGTCGTCCCCCCCCCCCACTCCCACCCCACCCGCCATCCCCCACCATCTTTCGCCTACAGAGGCGATGAATGGAACCAGGCCACTGGCGCACATTATCCGTGACGTCGCAATCCGTCTCGTCCGAGTGCCTGACTAACGACTGCCATTAAAGGAAGCGACTTTTGCGAGGTGGACAGCGCGTGGTGCGCACGTGGCCCAACATGGCGGCGGGAACGGTTCGCTCCATCGGCGCGGCCCGCGGGCGCGAATCGTCACGGAAGAACCCGACGGCTACGCGAGCCGGCGAGGTCGGATGTCACCGCGGCGCGTCGTCGAGGCGCTCACGATGTCCGAATCCGCAACGGGCCGGGCCCGGCTCCCCCGTGCCGTCAGCACACAAGTCGCTGCTGCTGCACTCGCTGCTGCTGCCGCTGCTGCTGCTGCAGTTGCTGCTGCTGTGCCCCGAGACGGCTGCGGATTCGTGCCCGGCCGTGTGCCGATGCAACAGCGGCTTTATTTACTGCAACGACCGCGGTCTCACGGCCGTGCCGAGCGGGCTGCCGCGAGACGCCACCACCATCTACCTGCAGAACAACCGCATCACCAACGCCGGCCTTCCCGCCATGCTGCAGGCGCTGTCGTCCGTCGAGGTCCTCTACCTGTACGACAACCAGCTGGAGGAGTTCCCGGCGCACCTGCCCCCGAACCTGCGTGAGCTCCACCTGCAGGAGAACAACATCGAGGTGGTACCGGGCGCGGTGCTGGAGCGCACGCCATTCCTCGAGAAGCTCCACCTGAACGACAACTCCGTGTCGAGCGCCCGGCATCGAGCGGCCACGTTCCACGGGACGCCGCGCCTCAAGCTGCTCTTCCTCTCCCGCAATTCACCTGAGCAGCGTCCCCCGCGGCCTCCCGAGGGGGCTCGAGGAGCTGCGGCTGGACGACAACAGGATCTCGCGCATCCCCGACCGCATCTTCGGCCAGCTGACCTACCTGAGCCGCCTGGCGCTCGACGGGAACATACTGGGAGACGCCAGCATCTCGGCCTCCTCCTTCTCGGGGCTGCCGTCGCTCACCGAGCTGTCGCTCGCTCGGAACGTTCTCACCACTGTCCCCACGCACCTGCCCATGCTTGGCCTGCAGAAGCTGATTCTGCAGGACAACCAGATCTCGCGCCTTCCGCCCGGCGTCTTCTACGGCCTCAAGCAGCTGCAGAGGATCGACTTGTCCGGGAATGGGCTTCGCAGCCTGTCGCAGGGCTCCTTCAATGGCCTCGAATCCCTGAGCCACCTCTCGGCATGCAACAACCCCTGGCACTGCGACTGCGGCCTCACCTGGCTGCGGAACTGGCTGCGGAGCAGACCCAACGTGAACGCGAGAGGGCTCACGTGCCAGACGCCGGAGCGGTTCAAGGGGACGCTCATCCGCGACTTCGGCCTCAAGGAAATTTCTTGCATCGGCATCTCCAAGGGGATGGTGCCGGCCGGCATTCCGCCCATGCCACTGGCCACAGTGCTGACGGAAGCCGACGACTTCTCCTCCACGTCGTCGTCCATATTCACGTACGGGAGGGAGGGCGGGGGCGGCGGCCCACGCCAAGGTCATCTCCTCGTCTTCGAGGATCCACGTGCCAGGCACGATCTCGGCTCCTCTGGCCGACGGAAACGCAGCTCGTCTTCTCCCCGTGCCCGGACAGGGAGAACAGCGTGCGCCTGCGCTGGCAGGACGCGGGTGCGCGCTCGTCGCCCACGGCCACCTACCGCGTCAGCTGGGTGCGGCCTGGGCCCGGCCGCCCGGGGTGCGGGCCCCCGCCGTCCGCCGGCGAGCCGCACCTCGACAGCCACGAGGCCACCGTGCTGGGCGCCGGGCGAGTTCCTCATCGCGAACCTGGAGCCGCGCTCCACCTATCGGATCTGCGCCACCCCCGTTGCCGCACGCCAAGGGGGGCCCGACGCCGCGGGCAGTTCGCGCAGGAGCAGGGCACGGCTGGAGGAGCGGCCCGCGGACGGCACCTGCATGTGAACGTCGACACGACGCGGCTGCAGAAGGCCGTGGGCGCGGCACCCCGGCAAGGCCCCGCGGCGGCATCGTCGGCGGTCGGGCCCCCGGCGGCGGCGGCGGCGGCGTCGGCGGCGGCGGCGGCGAGGAGCAGCGGCCGCGGCAGCAGCAGCCGTCGCTGCTGCCCGCTCGCCGGGATGGTGGGCGGCGCGGTGGCGGCGGCCCTCTTCGTGGCGCTGCTCGCCGCCTTCTGCTGGTACGTGCACCACCACCACCGCCGCCACGGCGGGTCGCGCCGCTCCGCGGGACAGCCGCTGTACGGGCGCGCGCAAGCAGCGCCCGGCGAGGGGCCGCGGACGGCGCGTGGAGCCAGGGCGGCCGCCGCCAGAGCTGGAGCCGCGGGCGCGCCGAGGACGGGGGCGACGTGGGGGACGAGGACGAGGAGGACAACGACGAGAGGGCGGAGGTCGGCTACTACGAGCCGGCCACCAAGCCCGGCGGCTCCATCCTGGAGATCTGCGAGACGCGCTTCGAGGCGGTGCCGCTCAACGAGCCGTGCTGCGCCGGCGTGGCCAAGTCGGCCTACGCCATACGGACCATCTTCCCGCCGGCACGCGGAGGGGAGCTCATGGTTTACCAGCGGGACACGAGCAACAGCAGCAACAGCAGCAACCGTAGCTACAGGGACAGCGGGATTCCGGACTCTGACTACTCGCACACGTGATGCGTCCCGTCATGCTTCACGATAATAACAGATTATTATTATTGTTGTTGTTATAATAATAGCGTCGCTAAGGTGGCACAGAGCAGGAGGGCTACGGCGATAATCACGCCGCTCGCATGGGAGTATGTACCCAGACTTGTCGATGCAAAGCAGAGAGGCAAAATTATTCGACGGCATAAATATATAACGCGAAACGTTTCACAAAGAACAAAACGAGAGGCGGGTGGGAAGGAACAAGAAGATAAATACAACTGAACACGACATCAATGTATCAAATATTTTATACTGTTAATATATCACTGGACTGTCGAAAACTGGAACCAATTATTTTGTTTCTATAGGACGAAACTGTACACGTTTTATTAGCACTTGGACTTTTAGTGTGGTTTATGGGTATTTTTAAAATTGACAAATGTGTTACCTTTGGTTGAGTGGTTTATGTTGCTTACATAAAGGTGCAGAAAGCTATCGCTCGCTGTTCGTTGTGCATAAAACACTATAAGGTAACGTTCGCTGCATTTGTAAAAGCTTATTTCGGTAAATAACACTTAAGGCTGGTTTATTTTTTCATGTTTAAACAGCCTTTGCTTCGATAACCTATTTGGGGAAATACGATTTTAAAAAAAGTTGCGTATGCTTTTGTTGTCCAGAGATAAGACTGCTGTATAAAAAAAAAATCAAGAATCTGTTTTAAATATTTATGCACTGTTGCTGCAGGGTTACTGGAATGCAGTTTTTCAAGCCAATGGCAATGATCAACACACATCGACCGAATGACCATGAGTATAACGCTATCGATTGCATTTGAATGGAAGCACTGTACATATTCACGTTTCCATTTTACACCGCATGGAGTTTCACATTTTTTGGGGGGGGGGTTTTGTTTACACTTAAAAAAAGCGTTCAGCAGGGTACGGAGACTTGTGATCTTAGCAGAAATGCATAGCGATGACAGCCCAGCCACAATCAGGCTCGTCAAAGAGGTGCTTTGTCTGCTCTCTGCGTCTGCTGGGGCGTGAAGGCAAGTCGTTCTTTTTTGCAATCAAATGGAGGGGAGAGGGAACAGCTGAAGGCATTTAAAATCTCCCAAATTTTTGGTTTGTTGTTTAAGTATACGCTACCCGAAAATATGTCCTCATGTAAATTATTACTATAGTTATTAACACTGCCGTCATTAATTATCCGTAAGGTTTTCGTTCAAATGCCTTCAGCAAGACAGGCGTCAGGCATTCTTCGTTTTTTTTTTTTTGGGGGGGGGGGAGTCCAGTCTGCATTCCGTGCGAATCACGAGACATTCGACTCACTTTGCTCGTAAATTGATCGGGGTCAAAATACGTCTCTCCCACTCAGACGTGGCATTGACGATCGGTTGAAGCAAAAGTGTAGGCGTCTAAAGCCTGGAATTGCGGTGAGTTATGAAGCTGTGGGTGTCCCCATTTGTGGGCCCCGGCCCACTAGCGAACTTTAAGGCACGTCAATTGTAATCGTCCGCGGGGACGATTTATAAAACTTGGATTTGTGTTCGCAAAAAAACATATACCCTCGAAAGCAGATGGCTGTTGTTTACCTGGCAGAATGGAAAGCCTCAAATTTAAAGTGGCACATAAAGCTGCATCACCGCAATGTCCTGCTCACCCCACCATGGTGTTAGGGAAAAAAAGTAGCGGTGTGATTATTACACTTTGCTTCTGCCCCCCCCCCCCACCCCAAGGTACAGCAAATCTTGCACGGTCCCCCATGATCCACACCATTTCATGCGGCAGAGCAGAGTAAATGGTTGTGATCGTTATAAAAGAAACACACACACACAAGGGGCGAACGTGAGATTAGCGGCTCAGATGATTCCATTTGCAGCTTCCGCAACTGCAACTGTGAGAAGGTTCACAAAATGGGAGCAGCGGTGACGAGGCCTCGGGAACGTAGGAAAAAGGCGTCTCCGTCACGACGTCGAAACCGCGCGGACACGTCCAACACTGCCGAAGCGCACGACAATGGTCTCGCAATGTTCTCTGCGCACGACGCACGGCAGTCGAAGCGGGGTTGTCCTGTGCCGGCACGCGTTATGAACGGGTCAACGTTGGTTTCGGAGACCGCGTGGGTGAAGATTTTTTTTTTGGGGGGGGGGGGGGGGGCTATGCAGAGGGATGTTGCGTTTCTCCGTACCCACGTTTTTTTAAAATATATATATTTATTCCGTTACCGTTCACAGTTCAGTGGGTGTCAAGCCTAAAATTATTTTTGATTCTGATGTAGTGTAAGAACGTGCTCGCTACATGTATATACTTATCAAAATAATATATATAATTTCGGTGAAACATACTTCAATTTATGTGGCCAAAATTTGCTAATATGCATTGGTTCTTAATTTTACCCAACTGCACGCACACACACACACACATCCACGCACGAATTCATACATATTCATGGCAGACGATCACTGCAGATTAACAAGCACGCGTGAATTACGGCACGCAAATACAGTACATGCGCGCGCACACACACGAGCATGTATCCCCATATACACACACACAGAGTTACGAAAGGTCAGGCTAAGGCTAAGTTTACATTGGCCTAAGGGAAGTTTCCTTCATTTAAATAACATTGCATGCTTACACATCAAAATCAAATCCTAATTTTGGTGCATTGATTGGAGTGTTATACAATCGTCTGTGTCATTATTGCTGCCTCTGTATTTTAGTTTCTTTTATTTACTTTTTAAAGCGGTAGCTTTTTTTTATCAACCAAAGCCAAAATATCTGATTGCCTTATGGCAGCGTGTGCCTTGATGTATCTCCCTGATGAGTCGCTTTGGGAGCTCGTGTGTGCATTTAAATGTTTTGCACAAAAAAAGAAGAGGAGGAATGGGGAAAACAAAAAACAAATCGTGTGAATAATTAATGAAAAGTGTACCTTTCCTTTGTGCTGAAAATAAACGGTCCAATAAAAAAAAACACACTCCCGAAGTTTTATTTTTATTTGTTGAATATAAAACATGTCACGCGAATGCTGCGAGCTGATGGCTGTCATCGTGGCCTTAAAAAACCCACACCGCCACCCACTCCCCCATCAATTTCGTCACGTAAAAGCTGGATGTTTAAACCTTTGACCCCAACGGCCTCCGATTGTTTAACTAAAGTGTACCATTTGTCATTTCATTATCGTCGGTTTTCAGGCAAATCATACAAAGACAAACATCCCCCCCCTCTCCCTCGTTGAGCTTTCAACAGACAATTTTGTTAACGGGTAGCACCTATTGAAGGCTGACACCGGCACACAGAGGGGTAGTGGGTGGTCAACACCACAGGCGGCCGCTTCCCCAGTGCTGATGTTTACGCACAGCAGCAGGTGCTCATTTGAGGCTGAGCTGAGCCAGGGGAGGTCCAGGACCGGTTCGAATGTTCGTCACTGTCACGAGTCGGAATCGTGCGTGGGAATGGAGCTCGGGTCGCTGGGCCCTTAATGCAGTGCAAGAACCGCTGCCACACGACTCTCCACCGCAAAGACAAAGATCTCCCGTGTAGCCCGAAGAGACTGTTGGGGCAAGTGGTGTTTTGCGAGCACATATGAAGGCCGGCACGGCACACGGGGGGGGGGGGGTGGGGGGGGGGGGGGTATGGCCGGCCAGCCCCACGTCTGGACGCCTTTGCCTCCCCAGTGTCGATGTTTTTTACACACCGCACATTTGAAGCTGCTGAGTCGACCAAGGGGAGGCCCCAAGACCGGTTCAGATGATCGTCACCAGTGTTGGTGGCCGTGAGCGGGAATCAGCCTCGGATCGCCGGGTTCGTGGCACAGCGTAGCGCTAACCGCTGCACCACCGCTCCCCAGACCCAAATCAAACACACACACACACACACGATCCCACACAGGCGGAGAAACGAAACATACGTGTGCGGTCACGCACGCCGCACACACAGGGGAACACGGAGGGCACACATGTAAGGTCCCCGGGCACCGTTACTTCTGCTCGCAACACATTCAATCGCAGAAAGGGAAAATTAAGATACAATTACGATAAGCCTACGCGTGCACGCACCGAGGACCACGGCAACGCTGACAAGATCAGAATTTTCACGAGTAAGCACACACTCCGAGCACCACTTTAAACCGCAGCACTTCATCAACGGACGTATCTCAATCACCAGCAGAAGAATATCTCACACATGCATGACCCCCCCCCCCCCCCCGCATCCGCCCCCCTCCTCGCATACAAATTACATTTGTCTCGTTCAATCATCATTACGTTGCCTTCCCCAGCTGTCCGCCTACAGCTTTGGCAATTTCTTTATTATTATTATTATTATTATTATTTTTAAACATCTATTTGTATCCCCCCCCCCCCCCG